GACTCCTAGATATGCCACTGTGTATACTTGCACTATGGTGGATTTCAAAACAAGAAGACACTAATTATTTTGTTTTTAAAAATGTTTTAAACATTGAAAAAAGAAATAGGCAGTATAAAGAAGCTGGTGTGTTCATGAAGGTCTCCTTATTACCTCATGTAACTAAAATTTTTTTTAAAGTAATTGTGTTTACAAGTTTTTTTTGGGTTTTTTTTCACAAAAATTCCTGTAGCCAGAATAAAACCACACCTTTATGTTCCACCAATAGTACATGTACGCACTTACATAATGCTTCATATGCTTCCAGGTCAGTACAATTTACTCTTTACTGGCCAGCATGTTCATACCACACCTTTTTCTTTGTGGCCAGGAAAGGACCTCACTTTACCTTGTGCTTGATGGATACACACATGTACAGTTTCCTCCTAGAGTTTCTGTAGCTTTCATATAAATACACATTGCTAACAATTGAATCAATTCTTTCGCTAACATGTTCATATATTTTATTCTTTACAATATGAAGACTGTTAATAATATACACATTCTTAAAACGAATCATACTACATTTAAGAGAACATAATGGAATAATCATGTAAAAAGATGATGATTTAAATTAATTTAAAATAGATAAACTGTAAAAAATTCAAGTGGTACCTTGTCTAAGTTTATTTTTTATAGTATTACCAAAATGAAAAAAATATAATGAAATAGGCTCCTTAATTAAAAAAAACATCACTATGATATAGCATAAGTACAGGCACCTTTAATTCAAAATAATAACATATTTTATACAGTATATTCACTTTAATTGATCATGATTTACCCTATGAATTAATTTAATTATTGATGAAAGAAATTAGATTAAGACATTAAAAAAAATATGGAATGAATAATGATAATAATAAATAAAGGATATAAAATTTACGCTTATCTTCTTTTTAGATATCGCAAGAATTCTGATAATATTTATTGACCAAATGAAATGAGTACAACAATCAAGCCCAACGCAAACCTCTTATCTTTTAAACATCAATATAAAAATTGTATCCAAACAGTTTCAATTTGCTCCAAGTCGGTGCAGCACCACCAACGAACAAACTGTTGATCCAAAATGAAATTCAATGAAAAGAACAAGGTTCATTTTGCCCATCGGTGGTGCCTTTCGAAGTTATCCAAAGGATAATAGGAGTTCACTGCCTCTCCAGTCTACCTTACATTTTTTTTACTATTTACATTTGTTACAAAAAGCAAGGCATTTCAAATGTTCACACTATTACATCATTTTCTTGTGTAATTGCTTGAAATTGAATGAATGCCTGACACAGAAAGAACAGTTGCATGAAGAAATGCATGAGATATTTACTCTTCAAAACATCATTTGTAACGTCATAGATTTGAATACATCATTGTAGTAGAAGACAAAATGTTAATGTGAATAATAAACAAAGCATTCAATGGCTTAGGATGGAACCAAAAGAATTAAGGCATAAGAGTTGTTGCACATGTTCTTGGGGCTAATAATCTAGGCGATTGAATTCCCAGGTGGCTTATATCCTGGGTGAATGATATCCGAGGTGGCTTATATCCCAGGTGACTTGTATCCAGGCAATTAATGATCAATACCTATATCACAAGTAACTGATATCACAGGTTGTTTACAGTATATCGTGGATGGCTAATATCCCAGGTGGCTCAAATCCTAGGAAAGCAATATCACTAGACACTAATATCCCGAGTGAATAATACAAGTGGTTGTATACCAAGTGTTTATATGCCAGGTAACCAATACCCAAGATGACTGATATCACATGTAGGCTATGGAGGTCCAGGCCTGTCCGACAAGGGAAATGCCCTCTCTGCCCGCCCTCTCTGCCCCCCCACCCCCTTCTACTGCCACCACCACTGAGTGACGTGTGACAGTAACTCAAAATTACCCTAATAGCAGATTTCTTGACATGTTGGAGATACAGGACCTTATTATTCTAATACAATGAAGTTTTTACAGGAAGCACATGTATCAATCACTTGTCTAATTTGCATATTCAGTTTTGTGCCACTCTGTTGATTAGTTCCCATTCCTGCTGGTTATCTCCCACCTGCCTTTCAACTATCTCCCACCTGGTTACCTTCCACCTGCCTCCACACTGATGACCGGTTGCTTCAGGTGTACTGCACTTCCCGCTGAAATGATAGGGAGCTTGTTGCTGCGGTGATAGTCAATCAGGTGGCTTACGCTATCAAATTCTTTGTCCTTTGTTCGTACCTAAGAATAGAGAATTTATCAAATACCGTAATAGATTTAAAAAAAAATTAATGTGTCTTTGTGTGTATAAGAATGCAATCTATGCAAAAAACAATACACATTAAAAGTTGACTACCTGCTAGAAAAATTCTGAATAATTTTGGCAGTTTCAGCAATAATTAATCAATCTTTTCCATAATTACCTTTTATTAGATATTTTAAAATAATTTTATCCACAAACCTTTCCTTCGGGATCAACTAGAAGCAGGTGTTTAGGAGTGCCACTCTGCATTCCACTTAGTACATACTGACCAGGTGTTGTCGTACTCTCGCGCACTAAGAAATCTCCATCAGCCTCCAACTTAGCTTCTGATTGTTTCCGAGTCATTGGACCGTGAAACCAAATTTCTTCTTTGAGTGGAACAGATGGTTTCACTCCTAAATCTCCTGTGCCAGTTGGAGACGGATTAAATGGTTCTGTTAGGGAGAAATGAAATATAATGAAAAATTAATCCCAACAATTTTTTTAATTGATCAAAATATATATCATCAAAATTAATATAAATTTTGGAAAGTAGAAATCAATTACAAAAATTAACCAATCCTAATTACATTCAAATACTGCTTCATCATAGAACATACAATTTAAAAGAATTCATTTAAAATCAGTATTTTTCTACTGTGTACAAATTTAACTAAAAAACAGATATCTAAAACTCTATTTCTTTCAAATATGCAACCAATTTGTACATGCTAAGATTGTAAAAATGCAAGATTGTTGAGTAAATAAAAGATAAAAACATAAGAACTCTAAATGGTGAGAAGCATGTTAGAGGGTTGCATTAATGGTTTGGATTCAAATGTTAATTTTAGCAAATAAACAAAGAATAATTGTTTCAGAACTTCATGCATTAATACTTTTATGATTTTGTTAAACTGGAATGGATTAGGATTTGGATTAGTACTGTAGTAAAACAAAACAATACAATTCTGATTGAAGATTTATAACATAAAAATCATGTTAATAAATATGTTTAAAACATAATTTTTAATAAATATTTCATATCTGCCCTTCGATGTTCTTTTTATAATTTCATGAGTTGTTTTGTTAGATGAAAGAATTTGTTATAAATTGCAGTCGAGTCATTCAAGGAAAAGTGGCAAAACCTGGAGCAAAGACTCTACTTCTAATACTTGCATAATAACCACCAGCCTACTACCAGTCAAAGCTATGAAAATGGCACAAAGAACACAATTCACAGGTAAGACAAAGATGACAAACAACGAGACAAAGATCCATTAATATCAGTAATTTCAATGCATATTTATATTTTTGAATCTTTAAAATATATATATAGTTTTTTTCGGATTAAAATTTTTAAAACAACTGCAGATAAAAAACCATAATGGTAAAGACCACAGTAATGAATAAACCACAATAATAATCAATTAATAATTATTAATTAGTTAATAATTAATGGATCTCAGTCATGTAATGCCTCTTACCCATATCAAAAGGATCATTTCCTGGGCTTGGTTGACCCAGCATGCCATTCTGACCTGTGACCCCAGTATCCATAGCAACTGGAGAGGAAAGTAGCCTGTCTGGAACTCCTGTATATACACTGTCATCAAAACTGTGGGACATCGGACTGCCGGAGAGGCTGGAACGGACCGAGGTTGGGTGATGATAGTGGTCACTGTGTGGAGTAGGATTTGGGTTCTGCCAGTCATTAACTGAATTTGATTCAAAACTAGCACTTCCATCTGCAGAGAAAAAAAATCAAAATGCAAAATAAATAGAATTGAAATTAGCCTGTAATTGGTGAAGGGTTAAAGATACTACAGGACGAGTGACTTTGTACAACCGTACTGGCATCAAGTCACAATATATTGAATTAAACTTAAGACATTGTAACAAATAGTATCTAACGGAATACTATACAAATCATTTAAAACTCATGTTGAATAACCAAAATATTTTATGAAGTGAAGATTATTAAACAAATAAATCTATATAATTTAAGTTATTAAAACAAGGTGTATAATTGGCAGTACGAAAAGCCTTCATAGTGAAAATAAGGATCTATAATGCAAATGAATAATAAATATTTCAAAATACTACATTTTTAATGCTAATGACATTTTGTTAATAAATATAAATGATGATTGCCATCATAATATCATGAGGACAGTGATGGTCATGATAATGATTATGATGGTAACAAGTTAGTGTGCAAAAATTGTACTCTAAAAGTACTAAATTTAGTACAAGCTAATCATTAAAGTGGTAGTGCACAAGGTTATATTAGAAGTGTCACTGGTTCTGGATGGTAGTGCACATGGCTATGTTGAAGTGTCACTGCTTTTAGATGGTAGCATCAAGTTCTTCATCTGTCAGTAGGAAGTAGTTGGTTAGTAATTGTAGAATCTTCAACTTAAACTGGTTATGTCTTTGTAACTAATCTAAACTCGATATGGTTTGTTAACATTTCACAGGTACTGTTTCTATATTATCTAAACTATGCACTATTTGTTGACATTTTCACAGGTATGACTTCTGTATTTCAGTATCTGAACTATGCACTATTTCTTGACCTTTTCTCGGGTATGACTTCTGTATTTCAGTATCTGAACTATGCACTATTTGTTGACCTTATCTCAGGTATGATTTCTCCACTATATAAACTATGCACTATTTGTTGACCTTATCTCAGGTATAATTTCTGTACTATCTAAACTATGCACTATTTGTTGACCTTATCTCAGGTATAATTTCTGTACTATCTAAACTATGCACTATTTGCTGACCTTTTCTCAGGTATAATTTCTGTACTATTTAAACTATGCACTATTTGCTGACCTTTTCTCAGGTATAATTTCTGTACTATCTAAACTATGCACTATTTGTTGACCTTTTCTCAATTTTGGTTTCTGTCTTATCTAAACCGAGCATGGTTCAATTACATTTTCACAGATATGTTTTCTATTTTACCTAACTCGGTATGGTTTGTTTATCTTTTGTACTGACATGGTTTCTATCTATGTAAACCAGGTACTGTATGGTTTGGTTACCTTTTTAAACAGGTATGTTTCCTATTTTATCTGCGGTGATTGGTTTATCTTTTGTACTGGCATGGTTTCTATGTTAAATAAACCTGGTAAATTTTTGCTAACTTTTAGTTCTTATCTTAACATAACACTCCTACTTTCATAATAATTATCTTTCATCTTTTTTCACCCGTTATTCATACTTTTCAGCTAGCCTTTTCTGGTCTCTAGACTACATTTTAGAAATGTATCACAAGGTTACCACCACAATCTCCCAACAATTGAGAGGGATGTACAGAGTAGATGTACTGAAAGGCATTGGCACAATAGTCAGTTAGCCATCTAAAATGATGTGTATGATAATAGTGAAAATGATAATTAAATATTTTGTAATTTCCTTAACTTACAAACTTAAATCCAACATGCTACCTAAGATAATAACATAGTACAAGGGGTACTTGCACTAATGTCTATTCTCTGCTATTTTCACAATTGGAGTTGTACTCTTCTGGACCATTATAATAATATGTGCAACATGCTCCGGCATTGTCATGCAGTTAGAATCTCGCGTGAATGATCACGAGTAAATTCATGAACATAAAGTTAGTATTACAGCAAAGATGCAGGTCCAGTAGTTGTATCTGATTATTTAGAGTTTTTGTGATCAGTTTAATAGTCCAAATGTGATGGTTGTTGTGTGGAAGCTGTCGCAATCACTTCATGCAGAGAATGTGACGTTTGACGTGCTTTAGCTGATGCATTGACCCCATGCAGGGCAGATAACTGGCGTTCATGCTAAAGTAACGGGAAGTGAACCTTGAGTTTTGCTTGAGCTTCGTCTTGATCGTTGATTATTCAGCTTTCCGGCCGATCTAAAATTATCGTAGCCTGCCTCCACCATTTGTTTCAGATCAGGATGTTTTATATTTTCGTAGCATGGTAAGACAAAACGAGACTTCGGTGACAGAACTACATTCTCAGTTTCCTTTGGGGGATTATCATACAGAGATGGCGTCCTCCGTTCGATCTTTGGTCTAGTTGTAGACGTTCTCCTCTCTGACATCGAGGGCTTTAAATTGCATTTAATCTCTTGTAATTTAACAGCGGGACTTAGATCTGGGTCTTTTTCGATTTTAATCAATGATGTTCTTGGTGTCTTGTTCAATGATGCCCGGACTTTATTAAAGTCAGTTTGCATATTAGTACTTGGTTGCTTACTCAACTCGGACTGCTTAATATCATTGTTTAAAATTGGGTGTGGCTTGCCATTTGTAACGGGTGTATGATTTTTATCTGTGCTATCTTCTTTGGCTAAAAGAAGGTGGAAGGTACAAAGGTGAAAGGTTAATGATGATGGAAGCTTGCATGTGATAATTAGAAAGAAAAATCAAACATGAATAATCAAAACTAATGGTGTAAAAGAGTGAAAATTACATGAAACTAAAACATTCAATGTAAATAAAAATGTCATAATAATTAATATACCTTTGCGTCGAACATTGCATAAAATTACAGTACATCCTTATCAATAAGTTATAGATGTACATAATTTTTTTCAACAATGAAATGCCAACCAGATTTTTAGAAAAAAATAGTCAAATATCATAATGATATTTTTTAATTATAAATTGTTTATTAATGTATTCTAGGAAGTTGCTACCTTTTTAGCTTTGATATATAGTTGAAACCAGTTCTTATGATTTTAATCACACTTAGGTCTGAACAAAAGCTGCACACATTTACAGTTTCGCTTGCAACACAAAATACTAAATTCCTTTTCATATATTTATTGAAGAAAATATACACTTTCACCAATAATGCACTTGCAAACAGTATAATGAGATAATTATTTTGAAAAAGACCTAATGTTACACCCTGAATGATGTTGGAAATAGTTGCCATAAAAATGCCAATGGGAATATGTCAAAAAAAAACATTTTATATTGATTATTTAAGATTTTAAATCATGTAGAAATTTCAACTTACACTGCTGGTTCAATGGGTTGTCAAAGACTGGTGCAGGGGTTGCCTCAACCAGGTCAATCAGTTGACCAATCACAGGCTGCTTACTATTTTCATACGATGTTTTATTATCATAGATTTTGGGATCTGTTGTATTATGGTTCATCACATCTGTGCGGTTATCGTAGAGGTCGTTTCCTTCAACATTTCCATCACTCATTGGCCTGTCATTTGGTTTTGAGGATTGGTAAATATAGGTGTGTGTTTGCTGCAAATGGTAAAAATTTTTCAATGGAGTATCATGGGTAGCTAAGAGGACAGGGGACAATGAAGTAAATTTTTTGTTGCCTTAGGTGCAATGTGGTGGCTCTAGAAATTTGAGGATGAGGGGTCTGATATGTCTGACCGACAGCGAGTTCCGAACCAAGGGGCCGACTAGAGCCTCGATTAGGGTCCCGGAATATAAATTCCTAATAGGGTTCATGGTGTGAGTTTTTTGGCTTAGTATGGCCCAAAATCATGCTTTTAGACCACAATTTTAGGGATTCGTAATTTAAATTATGTTTTTTATAGGCAAATTAATACTTTTCACCTGACAATCTCCTTGTGGCGTCAGACGACGAGGTCTAGGTCTGTCCGAAGGGGGAAGGGGGCGAATATTTTCCCTGCCCCACCCCTGCTGGCACCAACACTGCTTATGTGCACACCAGCATAAAAGAATTAAGTAAGAAGTTTGCTGCCACCAAAAATAAATAACAAAAATAAAATGAAGACAAAAACAATGGTGGTGATGATAATGATGAATATAGTGGTAGGTTATAGTGTAAGGTTTGAAACCACTGTTATGTCTTACCAATTCCAGACCATTTGCCACAGGTATTTCAGGTAAAGGCTCTTTTTGTACTGGTTTTGGTACAAAATCAGACAGGTCATTATAATATTCTGGATCTTCACCCCATGCACTCTCCTCTGAAACAAATCTACAAATATAAGGTTTTTATTTAGAAATATAAATTCTTTCATGCATAAAATATTATGTTTAATATGATTAAATTATTAGAATATGATATACATTAAGTATATTATAAAAAATCATATAAAATATCATATATTTAGTTTGGAAGTTTGGTAAATACAGTGTGTGTCTGCTGCAACCAAAAAATAATGAAAATTAACTGATAAGAATCATAATGATATTGATAATGATGATAGTAAAATTACAGAATTAAAAAATAATATTTATTGTTCAGTTTTTGCGAATTTGTCTACAAGGGCTATATCAAATTACAATAAAAAAATAATGTATTTATTCAATTAAATGCACCTGGGCATTTATTGTTGAGAAGGGTTTTTGAGGGGGCATTTATTTAAGGAAGGCATTACTTTTTATTATTACTTCTTATTCTCACTGTAAACGTGGAAGTACAACATTAATTACCGTCAAAATGTGATCATAAAGACTTATTAATCCCAACCTGGTTAGAAAAAATGTAATTCTACTGAAGTGGAACATTAATAGAATGTGTTGAGAATGATGTTGCTTCTAATAGATTTGTTTACAGTGACTTGTGGGGGGGGGGGCATTTATCAGAGAAAAAATTAATCGTCTCACATTGTTTTTTTTTTAGGGAACCATTCATTCCAAATGATGTTCAGAGGTGGTGTTTATTCACAGTGAGACGTTTCTTCAAAGCGAGAAATTTATTCAAGTAATTAAATTGGTTATGGCATCTTACCTGTCAGGAACATTAACAGCTTGTGGAGGGTTCTTTAAATATTCTTTGAACCTGATTTCAAATGCCTGTCCAATTGTAGTAATTACATCGTGTGCTAAGCCATCACTGCACTCAATCACATGACAAGCTGTTGAGATCAATAACAAATATTTATGAATATTCATATCAAGGTAATTAACATTCATTTATGTTTATTTATTCACAGATTGATTTAATAAACTTTTATGAGAATGACTCATGCACATCCACAATGATGAATATTAATTAATACTTATGTATTTTTCAGAGATTTATATCAGACTTTGAATAAAACATCAGTATATTTGATAAGGCAACTCTTATAATATTGGAGGTAATAAATTCTTAGGACTTTCAATTGAAGATAAGGGTTGAGAATTATGGTGAAATTCTGTTTGTTTCCTAGGGCAAGGCACTTTATCTATGTTGTGTCTGTCAACACAGAAGCATCAGTAGATACCTGATAAAACCTAGTGTTTACTATCGACCATTATGAAATACTCCCAGGGGAGGGGAGGTGAGCTAATTTAATGTTCCATGTAAATTATTATTTATTAATAATAATAAGCATCTCTTTTATAAATAAGAATATCTATGCCATAAACACTTTTATGAGTTTAGACATAACATTAAAAGAAAATATTTAAAAGTGTGATTGAGAAATTTATTTACCAATCAAAGGGAATTTTTGTTCATGGAAACAGTAATGAAAGGGCACGTATTATTATAAGAGTAGCACAAATAATGTAAGGGATATATTGAAAAGCTTTGATATTTAATACAAAACCTTTAATGAGAAAAGTTCAAAGTTTGCCAACTCAGGTGTCTGTCTGCAGTAATATATATTGCAGCTGGTGAGATTAAGCAGGAAAGCAATATATTTTAATAACTTATTACAAAGAATTATACTGCTAAGCTTCCAAGAAATTTGACATACAAAAAAAAACACAGCAAAAGGAGCCCTTTGTTTAAAAATTATCCCACAATTATTCTGCGGTAAAAATAAATTCCTTACCTCGTGCATTTACTGGATCCTTTGCAATGTATGCAACATAATCAGGAGTTTCCTATAAAAGAAAAAAAAAAAACATTATAAGAAAACAAATGAAAAGAAGAATATTAAATTAAAATGAATTGTTTAATTAATGACATACTTTTAAATCAGCAGTTGGGTTGTGAACAATTTCTGGTAGGTTGTGACATCAGTTGACTGTATTTCTTTCAAAAATTTGCTTTTTAATTATTTTGATGCTCTGAATGTTTAAATATTATACCATATTTTTTGTATATTTTTATGTTTTTTATATATTTTATCTTATTGTTGTTGGCCAGGGGTTTAGAGATGACCACTTGTTGTGTTTGGCTTTAGCCTATGTCATCTCTATTCACGCCCCAGGTCAATATGCATTTATGTATATCGTGACGATATATATCGTGACGAATTTTTAATAAATAAATAAACAATATACCCAAAATAAAAATCTCACAAGTAATGTTTGTAATGTTTTTTTTATAAACAACTTCACATATAATATGTTGTATTGCTGTTTTAACACTTTTATGTCTACTCAGTGTTGTAAAATTAATGATAAAACATAATAAATTGACAAACACAAGGATGCTGGAGAGGAGTGGAGTGGTAAACTCAAAGGCATGACCCTCAGAGTATTAGTCTCATTGGGTTTAAACCCTCACACCACTATAGGCGTAAACATGTATTTAATGTAGGCCTATGTCATATTCCTGTAATCAGCAAATGCAATGAATATAAATACAGAGGAAACACAGATAAATAAGGATTCCCACGCACATACAGTATCATTGGGTTCCAGATTTTGACTAGACAGTTTAATTATAACACAGTGTAAGGATGCCCAGCAGACAGTTGTCATGAACATTGAATCATTAACATACAGTAAAAATGGTACTATAATGTGGCTTCAGTCAAACTATCAATCAAGAAATTTATATGGAGTTAGTAATCCATAAAATCTTTCACCGTCCCTCAAATAGCATCTTCCATTAATGGTATTAATTTAGCTCAAAGATTTCCTAATGTTGATATAATTAATTGTAGTCTCCGGTATTAAGATTCATCGATAATGTATAATTTAGCCTATATTCTGATAATATTAAGTTAAAGTGGGCATATAGTTACTTTGAGATACACATACAAGACTACCATTGATACTAGGATATGTAGCGAGGGAAAAATGTGTACCCACCAAATTCTTTTAAACAATCTTCAAATTCACTTAAAAGTTAAGTAAATTTTTTTATTTTGGAAAATAAAAAATATGGGTTAGCTTATACACCAGCACAATAATTTTGCCCTAAATTTGGGTATAGGTCTATTTACAGCACAGGTAAGCAAAGTGCTACCCTCAGGCCACAAAAATAAAATCCTCCAAGTTTCAGCCCAACAACCATCTTTGGCTAAAAAACCCCTTGTTTTGTACAGCCCAACACCGATGATCCGGTAATAAGTAATAAATCTGCGAATAAAGCCGCATAAAAGCAGTGCATAAGGATTCTGGAAATCTGAAAACATCAGGGTTTAGGTCTAGCCCTCAGTTTAAATAAAAAATTAACTTTGGCCCTCCAACCCACTTTTATGCCCACCACTGATGTACAACATGTCGGTCCTGCTAACAAGCTTGTTAGGAATAATAACCTACCACATCGCCACCTGATGCAAATGAAATTCCTTGCATTTGATGATTTGCAATTGTCTGCAAGAACAACAACAATTTATAATTAATGTATAGATTTATGATGTACAGTAAAAATAAATAAGGTAATGTACAGTAGTTAGACTTACAGTATAGAGTGCTTTATAAGTAAGACTAAAAGTAGTAGTATCATGTTGTAGCTCATACTGTATGTAAACTTCCTTCTTGCTAAAGGGCCACTTCGGTGTTAGCTACCCTCTAAACCTGTACCAGGTACACTTGCCTGTCCAAACAGGGGCTGTATGCATTAACAATCATTATACATACTACACATGACAGCAATATTGGTCCAACATTTTTCATAAACTAAATTATATTTTATACATAATTTATTATGCAGACCTAGAGCTTACTATAGATCAACACTTATAAATCCTTTAAATCGCTTGGAAGGAAATATCAATTACACAAAACAAAACTCAAACATTGTGTGTATATTATAATAATGTTTGCATATTTTATGCTTATAAACCCAATATTTTTGTTTGTAAGAAATTTACTTTATCTTGTGCATGATCGCATGTTGAAGTTCACAGTTCATACAAAATCTTGTAGTACAATAAATATTTGTTACAAGTAGTCAATAAAATGCTGCCTATTTGTTCATCTCTGCCCATCAAAAAATAATTTTAAAAACATGGTGTCTTATAATATAATAGGCCTAATCATCAATTGCATTAATTTGAAACATATCAGATAGAAACGCTACTTCCAAGCACATAGTTAACATGGTGTAAGGCTCACATGACACTACAGAAGAAAACAGTGTTCTGGAAAAACATAAGTTTATAAAAGAAAATCTCGGAGTGTTATAGACATCTTTGTTTAGTTGCGTATTACGGATTATAACAGTTGGCTTTATATAATTTCCAAAACAGTGATTTATTTATTTATTTTGTCTTCAAAGTGATAGCACTTTCAGTTCGCAAGTGGTTCACATGATCGAAAACAAAATAGACAATTCTTTATATTACCAAACAAATTTAATAAAATTATTTTTTTACTCTCCCGATTTTGTCAGATACTACGTCTCAAAATAATTGATTCAGAATTTTACATTTTTAAGTAATTTTTTTCATAGTGTTTTTAATTCAATTTTAATGTTAATGTATTAATAGATTGCATTTATTTCTTAAAGAAATAACTACATTTCCACCAATTTTTCCATTGTTTATAATTACATTTTTCTATCATCCAGGACTTTTCACTATTATATTTGATATCGTCTATGATCATCCGAGTGGAGCTGCCATTTTTCGTTTACAACGGTAAGCTCCACTAATTTTACATTGACTTATGCATAGGAAATCCTGCATCATAACTACCACAGCTATTTATAGAAACTTCAGCAGCTTTGAGTGTTTCACCACTGCTTCACCACAATTGGATTGTACAAGGCGACTAAGACTGGGGTCATAGGTCATCAATGGGATAAAAAAATCCCAGTATATATTTGTACCAGGTGGAAAAGAAAAGGGTACAGAATAGCTGGGTACTGTATAAAATCTATCAATTATACCATTGTCTAATATTCCATAGGAAATTACTGGCTTCCTAAATGTTTATCTAAGTTTAATTTATAATTAATGCATGTATGAAATATTATATGAACTAAAATCAAAATGAAATGAAATGTTTTGAAGATAGTCACCAGATACTGATTTGTCTCAATTAAGGTGTTATATACACTGATTTAATACCTACTTAACCAAGAGCTGGAGTTAACAGGGCAATAATAGAGATCTTGAAGATGATGATGATGATAATGACAATGATGAAAATTGTGGTAATGAGGACGATTATGATATTAATGATGATGATGATGAGGCCTAAAAAAATAGTTTGCCCTTCTTTCTTTTAAATGAAAAAAGAGCAGGTGGAAAAAGTTTTTTTTTGTAAGATACTCTTCAGATGGAATAAAAATAACTCACAGAGGCCTAGAATGGCAACATCTTACATCAGACAACTTTAGACTAATTTGTAGGGCATCTGGCAAAAAATAAAATCAATTCACTCACATTTTTTTTTTATTTGTAAAATTAAAAATTAAAAAAAAAACTTTTTTAAAGTTTTTTTTGTTTTTTTGCCCCTATTTTTTTTTTCAGTGAGTTAGGGGCGGGTGAGGAGGGCAAACAAAAATATTTTTTTTTTGGCCTGATAACAAAGCTTCTTCTGGTGTCATTCCTGATTGCAATGGTCATTGTAATAATGGTAATATTATTATAATACTACATTATCAGTGGCTCCAGACAAATTTTATAGGAGAAGTCCAACAAATCTGAGAGTGGGCTACCTAGAGCCTCAGGAATTTGAGGTCTAGGAATAAAGACCATGGTGGAGGAAGGGGGTAGATTTATAATTTAGGGTGCTAAAAATTGTGCTTTTCAACCAAAAACCCTGGGAACTATAATAAATTTGATTGAATCGCCAAATATTTTTAGTCAAATGACCTCAAGTGTCCAAAGACAGCTGGTCCTTGATGATGATGTCGTTGTACCGTATATTCTCGCATGTAAGACAAGGCTTAAAATAGCAAATGACAATTGAAAAACAGGGGGCCGTTTTATAAGTTCAACACAATTTTTTAAAATGTTTACATCATGTTAATCTTATGTGTGGATCGTCTGTAACATGCAAATTTACTATTCAAATGAAGTTACTAAATGTTGGGTTGAATGAACACAATTTTAAATGCAGGGAAATAAAACACTAATGGACATTTAAAAAAACCCATAAAACAGTATTATTTGGAAGATTAGCCTTACACTTGGCTCCGTTTTTAGCCAGCAAGATGCAGGTATCAAGACCATAAAGTGCAGCATAAATTAAGCATTTCGAAAGTAAAACAGGGGTGGGGGTCATCTTATATGCACGACATACAAAAATCATAAAAAATGTTCTCAAACTTGGGGGTCGTGTTATACACAAATCACCTTATACGCGAGTATAAGTATATGTGGTATAATACCATGATGACAATCATGTTGATGATGGATGTTGAAGAAGATTACAATTCATTACGGTTATGATGATGATAATAACATGTTTCAAATTCTCACCTTGCCCGTTTCCATTATCATCAGGTTGATGCTCACTGTTGATATTGTCAGGTTCACATTAGCACCGCCAAACTGAATGTTGGGTAATTCCCCAAGAACTTTGTTCACCTGCTTGCCAGCCTAAAAAAAAAAAGAAATCACACCAAACACCAATTAATCAAACACCAAATTAATCAAACATCCAATTTACCATATACTTTAACAATGTTCATTGTGTTGGTTCTTTCAAGCTGTTGACAATGATGACGATGCCAAAGACTACTGTACGACTAAGAATGGTGATGATTACAGCAAAAATGACAATGATGATTGTAACAATGCAACTGCTTATAATTATACTGATGATTAAAATGACAATTATGATTATAACAATGCAACTGCTTATAATTATACTGATGATTAAAAATGAAAATTATGATTGATAATGAAGACAATGACAAGAATAACAAAAATGATGATGATCATGATAACAATGGCAATGATTATAATCAGAATGATGGTGATGACTAAGAAGAAAATAGTGACACTGATGATGAATGCAATGATGACAAGATAAAAAAAAAAAAGAATGACAATAACTACAACAATTAAAGATATTAATGTTTGCAAGTAAAGTAGTTCACCAAATTTACCTTCTTTTTCCGATTATATCTGAATCCTGCTGCGTCACAAACTCTAAAAATAGCCTCTCTGAAGAAAAAAAAACAGACGTACATGAATCAATAAAACTGAATTGGCTGTGGCAAAATCTGGGAAAACCTAAATAAGATACAAGTTACAAGATTCCTTTATTGTTAAAATATCATTAAATCTACACTCTGACATACATTGAGCATTGCAGGATATTTTTATTTTAGTAGTTATTTACATACTGTATTATGGCACAAATTAAAAGACAGGGTTTACTGTCAGCAAAATACCTAAATAAAATAAAAAATACAATCATAAAATAATAAAAAATAGCTAGCTAATTGCTAATTTACATGACTAATACTTTAAATAGTTAATCAGTAAGATTACACTACAGTATAGTATTACAGTATCCACACCACGAAAGTCACCATATGAAAATACATCACCAACATTAAGGGCAATCATAAATACACTACAGCTTCCCCTGACCTTTGTGTTGGTGGTACTATACATTTATTGCAAACAACATTAAGCCTTCAATACATTTATACATTATTATTTGTATGCAAATAATAAACAGGGCAGAGGGGCCTCTGAGGAGCAAGTTCCTAACTGCAACAAATTTGTTCAAATAATAACCCAATATATATTTCACTATTCCATTGCTACTAAGAGAAATACTGGCCTTGTAAACTTGTCTGTACAAATTATATTGTAATTTTCAATAAATGGATGTTTAAATAATATAAGACAAACGCAAACTTTATTCTTGGTTTCAAGTTAAAATCACGATAATGCAAACAATGTACATTTTCTTCAATCAAGGACACGTTGATATTATTAGAGGTTTTCAACGCCCCTGGAGGGTCCTGCATCATTATGATAAAGCGTTGTGCGGATTATGAAGCTTATTAGGCAAATGCTATTACTCTCTATTATACAAAGCAATTGTACAAAGCAGTATAGGGAAGTACTGCATGATTTAACATTGATACAATACTAAACATATGGATGTATTGCACTAAACATTCTTTGCTATCTGTACTCTGAGCAAACACCATTTATGGAGGCACCTGCTAAATTTACTGCACTCTGAATATAATATCCTACATTATTACCAAATTATTATGGAAAAACCATACCAATATTTATATAAATAATTCAATATAAATAATTTACAATGGCAGATTCCAAGGGAGCCCAGTCGGCCTGGGCCCCTTAAATATTTCCGAATTATTTTTTAAAAATTGAGAAAAAAAAATGATACTCAATTTAAATCTAAGAGTACTGTTTCCGGTCATCTAGAAGTGCAAAAATATTATCATAAATTTTGAGGTGTATAGACCCTCCGTCTGTGCCAAAGTAGCTCACTAGGCCCCACTCCTGGATCCACCACTGATTTATATAACCATTCCAATAGTTATATGAATTATTTAAATTAAACACATTATCAACTGAATTTAAAGCACATGTTCTACGCAATGGGGGTGTCAGCGGTGATGCAGGGACAGCTTAAATCGGAACCAAAAGAAATTTTTAAAAATACTATTTCCTTTTGGGCATGATAAATTCTAATTTGTTGTAGGCCTACTGTTGAACAGCTTCAAATGATAAAAATGTTCTCAGTATTTCTAAACGCCAGCTTATTCCTGATCCCACTTGATCTGTGTCCCTGGACCCCACTGGCCACCAAAGGAAATTGCCAAACCCCCTGTCGGATAACTTAGCTCACCATAAATGTGTATCATACAGAGACACCCATGGGTCTAGGTGCTACTTTATTGTAGTAGCACGGTAGTAGCAATATGTAGCACAATCGGTTTTTTTTAAGCTTAAAGCCTTGTTTTCATAAACTCACTACTCTGCAGTGTCCCTACAGCGTCTTCTCTTTAAAAAAATATATACACTCAATCACACTATGTTGTATCACTTCCCATAACATTTATAACAGGGGTTGTGATTGGTCAAATTGTTGACAACCAAGCACAGTAGACAAAAATAGTTTAACAAGGTGACAACCTTGTAGTGTTGCTTATATCTACGATAATTCTCTGTGGGTAGGTACTCTTCAAAATCCATCCCTATATCTGCTAGAAATGATAATATAAAGCCAAATTGAGATGCCTGGGGAAGTGAATCACTATACTATTTAACATTTAATATTCTAAATTCAGTTTTGTGATACCCTGATATAAACAACAGCATGATTCATAACATAACAATAATGATATACCGTATGTACTAGGCATAGCCACTTCCTATTATAAACATATTTTATAGCTGTATAATTTATTATGGACCTTAAAAATGACTTACTTTGTTACTTGGCCTCTCATGTCAAAGGGTAAAGTTCGCATTGACTGTTTAACCTCTAGACATCCAACATACTGCAAAGAAAAACACAAGTTATTGATTGAATTAATAATTGATTGAATTAATTAGATAAACTGAATTACCTTGCAGAACATTTCATTATTTGGTTACTGTATTAAACAGATATTTATCGGTTCACCTTAAATTGTGTTATTTCACTATAATGGTATATGAGCGCAGGAGCTATTATAAATACTAGTCTATACCCAAAAGATTGCACCCCAATATTACTCCCCGGGGAGGGGGGAAAAAAGCTGCATGTTGTACATATTTTGTGGTTGGACATTATGGAACTGGTAACAACAGTAATAACAGCTTAATAACCAACCAGCGGTGGTTCCAGAGATTTGCCAACATGAATTCAACAATTTTTACAAAGATCTGAATTAAAGGGGACTGCTTGGTGGGGTAGATATTAATGGTTGAAGCTGCATTCACATTGTGACATGAACTGAAATTTGGACTGCATTTCAATGTGTTGCCAACGTCCCTATTCTTACAGACTGCTTCGATTTTTTGATGGGCTCATAATAGGCCTTGCGATTCGAATATTCGGTTTCAGTGTGTTGCTAATGGTAAAATCAGGAATCCGAAAACCTGGGTGGGGGAGGAACTTCTAATAAGAATAAAGAATGAATGATGAAATGAACATAAATATTGTCATTATTATTATTATTATTATTAGAATTATCATTATTATTTGCATGCCTCTAAATTTTGTTGTACTTATTCTACGATCACATAACATGCCTTGGGCTATACACTAGCTCTGTGATCGTAAACGTGCATTGAACAGGCTGTTCTCACTCAGTGATCAAACTACATGCCTCGCAAAGTCCCTTGATGATCCTTTCAGTCGATTTGAATTATTCTGTTGAATTTAAAATTGATGTTTTTCTTCAGACTATCTTCATATCTGACTCTAAAATAGATAATGTCTTTCAAAGTGGGATCTGACCTCTAAATCAATGACCCAGTATTTGTGAAGAAATCTTTCACCTTCAGTAACACACAAAAACTTCAGAATTTACCCACTGAAGTGTTACAATAGAATTTGTTGTGTAAATCTATTTCAAGAAAATTATGATTATCAGTTCTAACATGGTCACATCAGATAATACTTGTTTTAATACAAATTTTGGTTTTATACCATTACCAGATTTGAAATTGAATGTCACAAATGTTAATATCAATTCATGAATTTTTAAATAATTTTTACTTATTATTTTACATGCTATAATGGTAAATGGTTTGATGGTGTCTGCGGTCATGATTATAGAGAGCACTAAAGTCGGGAAATGCATCAAGTGTACTCATAATCATATAACTTGTAACGTTGTTTCCTGATTCAATTTTCTTTCCACATTGTGATTTACTATATGTGACTTTTTATTCTAGGTCCTACAGAGAAGAAATAGATACTGTAGGCCTATATTTTGATTGAAATTGAATGAAACAGATATCAACTTCCAAACCTAAAATTAAATTTGCAGTGAAAAATATTAAAGGGATGTAAATTGTTTTTTTTTTTATATTGTGGAAGGGAAAATCAGGGGAAGAATAAGCAGAGGATTTCTGCTGATTAAAGACAATATTTTAAAATAGGCTCCCAGTGAGAGAGTATATCTACTGCCTGAAATAGAGTACTGTATGTTTACAATCAATCTGAAAAGGTAAAACCATGGTCCAAGCAAGACAAATCTTTGCATATAATGCAATATCCCATCAAGCACCTCACAGGATTTACTCTCACAAGCAAATTCCAGACGATAAATAAGGGTCTACCAACACCCGCAGGATGCAAAACCTGCTGCAATAAATTAATACCACACCACATCACAATTATTACTGTAGATTGATGTCTCTTTTTGCCTTTTACCGAATCTATTCTGTTTTCTTTATTGATTCTGTTTGTTATATTTCTCCAACATGTAGTGGAGGTTTCTATTTCTGTTCTTAGAGGATTGAACATTTAAAAAAAATAAAAAATTCTGGATAATATTTTATATGATGTATATGATGATCTACAGTACCAAAATTAATACATTTTATACATATTATTGGAATAATTAATAATAAACTATCAAAGATGTAGAATGTCTAACATAACAATTGTTTAAGAAATTAAAATCCAATTTAGCTTTTATAAAATGCAAAAAGGTCTTTAAATAATTTAAAATCCAATTAAGCTCCAATTAATCGCTGGTACTATATTATAAATTGAGTTGTTGAGTTTTTTGACTGATGTTTCAAATATTTGACTGATTGACTGACTGATTAATGATATTATTTGACTGACTAGTTTACTAATAGATTGATTGATTACAGTAACTAGTGTATTGATTTAAAGATGTATCAATCGTGTTGATTGATCGATTAACTGAGTGAATGATTGAATGAATGATTGATTGTTTGACCGATTAGTGGCTAGAACTATATTGACTAATGAATCAATTGTTATGTTGATTAAGTTGGTATTTGGTATATTTAATAGGTTCAACTTAAAATAAATTTAAAATTAAAATATTATACGAAATTGTTTTGTGGTTTTATTTTTTTAAATAAATTAGATTTCAAGTTGATATTAAGTTAGTGGCAAGAAAAAATGATTTTTGGAATTTATTACTTACTCTGACTCCATAGCATATGCCTCCAACTTTAAGTCTCTCGTCCGGATGAATCCACCCTCTATTTGGTTTATTGATGAAGGTACCAGTCTTCGTCCACAGATCATCGTTTTTCCGACCAATTTTTCCCGGTCCTTTGTTATTTTTTAAGAAGCCTGCCATTTTCAGTCTTGACTGTCTCTGAAAAACCCTAGAACAGAGTATAGGTTCGCAGGTCATTTTGATAAACTTTCACTGAATGAATTTTTATTTTTCGGTATCTTCAGTCTAAAAATCTGTTGAATCCAAAATTATTATGCAGTCTGGACAATAGTATGCGAAACTTCCTGATGCAAATCAAAATGTTTTTTTAATGCATATTAGCAATAATTAGGAATCAGAATAACCATAAATATAAATATCCATTTACAGCTATTGTGGGTACTCTGTCTCCATCTTAATTATGTATTTCTATAAAAAAAAAAATTCCATCTGTCATGGCTCATAAAACAGTGGGTAATGATGGTTTCTTTGCAGTTTTACAGTTGGTTTCTTGCAAAGCTTCAGTCCCTTAACACTGGCTGAGAAAGATGATGTTATCCTCAATTTATAACGCTATCAACAAAAACAAGTTCACTATCCTCCTGCTAGGAATTACGCTTTAATTACACTATCCTTTTAGAAAACAACCACGCAAGATTTTCCAAACCGTGACCAACGATGTTACAATAATCATTCCATCGAGAATCAGTTGGCTTGCCAATCACAGGGTAAAGTTATATCGTTTTTCAAACTCACTATCCTTCTTATAAATAAAACTGGGGACTTCCTTCCCTTTCGTTAAATCGTAATTCACAAACCAATTCTCATGGAATGAATAATCAGAATAAAAGAGAATACTCTCCGCTAAAGAAAAATGGCAAGGACAAGCTATTAGCCCACGGATTTGCAATCATCATCACTAGCCAAATTTAGTGGTTGAATTTTGGAAGTGAAAAGTTCAAATATCCATATTTTAATAACCCACAATGATTGGTGAACTTGAATTTCCTTAATTATTTGACCATTTTAGGAATGACGACTAATGGCAGAACTCTGCAGTAAGTCTAGAGTTTATTCATACATATCTGGTAACAGTATATGCATATCAGTTTTTAATCCAAGTATCTGTTAAACTTCATCAACACTTTGAGGCAAACAAATACCCAGCAATTAAATGAACTTGCACACAGTCAACTGACTGACATAGAGATGCAAACATTTGGATAGTTGGAACAAAAATAAAATTTGACACAATCACATTTGTAGGAAATTTGAAGCAGATCTTGATGATCTTTTAATAAATGTCTGGATAAAATCTCTAAATTGAACCTGCTTCCTTACAGATGTAAAAAAATTTAGCAAAAATCCATCCAATTTAAAGTGATAACTCCTTTGACGTCTATTCCTACAAAAGTTACACAAACGTCTACTCTGCTGTCTTGGCCGAACCTGCAACCCTCTGGCATAAAAATCCATGCACGAACAATGATACAAAAAAAAAACCTCTGCAATAGAAACATTTGAATATGAATAAATTTAAAATCAAGAAGTTGGTTTTATTCCTAAGCCACAGTTTCCCATTGCACACGTATATACACACCATATAAAAACTGTTGCATGAGCTTACAAAATAACCAATCACCATAAAAAGATTGCAAGCGGACTTGGAAAGCAGCCAATCAGAATCAGTTGATCTAACCCAGTCTATTGACTAACAGGTGTCAGCGTACAACTATGACGATGTTCATAATGTAAGTTAGCATAGAGAGGGTGCATTATCACAAATGTACAGTAAATGCAAGTACAATCCACGGATTTATTAATTGATCAGTTAACAGTTTGTAATGCATTAACAATGATGTACGCATCAAACAGTTATGATCAATATAGTGGTGTAGAAAGCAAAAATCATCCCTGCCTCATAAATCAAAATTATGATAAATTATGACTATAATGATAACATGTACCAAAATAAAACTATTGCTCAATTTTTTATACAAAAAATAATTGAAAAATTAACTAAACTGACCAGGTTGAGAAAATACTGAAAATATAAATGAAATACCAATTGTGATAGAATGTAGCCTAAATGGTTGGGTATGTTACAGTACATATTTGAGTGGAGTTGAGTAGCTTAGTGGTTAAGATGCTTGCCTTCCAATTGCAGTGCCCTGGGTTCAAATCATGTGACAGCAGGCTAACTAACTACAACAAATCCACTCCTAGTAATGAGACTTAGTCTATAACTGGGCCTTGTGGGAGAAGTGTACAGTAGATAGACTGAGCCCAGTAAAGTAAAGGAAAAAAATCTAAATTTAATTAAGGAGAACTTGTTAAAATTATATTATAAATAAAATAAATTTCCACAGTAAAAATAATTATATAAAAAAAATCTTACAATATGTTTATTTTTTTTGTTTTTTTTTTGTTTTTATTTTACAAGATATACCAAAAGTATGTAAAAGAAAGTATACAACACTTCCTACATTCATTACTAAAAAAAATGCACTCAATTTTCTTTTTGAAGAATAAAACTAACAGTCTTGTGAAGTTCCGTTAGATACAACATCATTTCCAATTTACAGATAACATCGTCGTATCCTCTTACAGCACATGAAACCTCTGCTTTCATTTAGACTTCCTTGGGATTTTTGATTTAAGGGGGCGGTCTTAACACCACACACTTAACATACTTAACTTATCTCTTCCTAATCTAAGTCATTCGTAAAATGAGGGGGTACTTCAAATCTAGGAAAGTTGAAGGAAACCAGTTACCATTCAGTAGTTTTGAACATACAGTACAGTACTATATGCACTGCTGTTCAATATCAACCTCTAATCACTTATTAATGCAGACACTATTGCTATAAACTATGAATTATTAATGGTATAGAAATGAGCATCTTTTGTTAAAGCTCTCCAAGACAGGATTTTAACATGTTAACCTCTTAGAAACATGCAACAAAATAAGAAACATTATACAGCTTGGACAAACATCAAACTATTGATGGGTCACATTCAATACCAGACCAGGGGCAGGTCCAGATTTATTGAAATTTTAAAAATTTTGCAGCAAAACGATGATTATGCAAATGACTAATAAGAGGAAGAATGTTCAGACTTATGAAATAAATAGCATACCAGTTTGTTGGTCTAGACAAATTTTTAGCCGTCATAACAACAGGAACCAGAAACAAGATACAGACACACAAGGATACTATGTAGTATGCAAGCTGTAATAACCATTGTGACATTCACTTCCTATTTAGCTAAAATCTGTTTCAATCTTCTCAGAAAAACAAATTGGTAATTACGGTGATATTTATTTATGTTATTGTTACTTCATGTAACTGAATACAATTTACTATACCGTACAGTTTGTACCGTACAGTTTGTTCCATCCTGTGTGTACAGTTAAAAAACTAAAACAGATCATATCCCTTATTTCTAACTTTTGCGATATCTCTCTTTGGAATGTGTTAACTTAAAATTTACTTTAATAATTTGAATACTTTAATAAAACAACATTTGAATGCTAAAAATGTTCTTGCCAATCTAACTCTTAAGCCACCTTCATACAGAGCTACGTTACCACAATATTACGGGAATCTTCCTGGCATTGCCTTCTGTACGAATAAGTCAGGGCTAACCACAGCCGCAATATTGGTGTTACGTGGCGTTCTATCTCAGACCTACAGTAGTAACACTACTGCATTACGGCTGTTACTGTGCGTTCCGGCATGCGTCTGAAACAAAAGCAGGTCACATACCCGCAATATTACTTTATTTAGTCTAAATAAAGGTAACGAATTAGACAAATGTTGAGATAAGGTAGAACAGAATTGTTAGTATAGTCATGGAGAAGTGTTGGCAGGTATAAGAAATTTGCCAATGTTCAGGCAGGCATGTAGTTATGGTGGGCAGCCTTAAAGTTTTCCACCTAGTCTAAAGCTAATTTCATGGCCTTCCACCCACCCTATTAACCCACTTTTCCATCCTTAAAATCCAATCTTATTATTTTAGAGTTAACACATGTTATTTACCCACCCACACTTAGTTTTCTACAGGAGCAACAAAACTGTTCAGGACAATTATTAAAATTATATTAGAAGTAATAATAAACCACAAAATAATAAAATTGGCCCTATTATCCTTATAATAAAAACTCATTTACCGGTACGTGGTATTATTGGGGGTAGGGGTGGAGACTATGCCTACATCGAGACACAGCAAACTGATATCCTCGGACATATATTGATAAAGCAGTGTACAGTGAGGTGCAGTAGGCTGGTTATATCATAAATGCTATATAGGAAAACTTGCATTTTGTTTACACAATTAACATTACCAATGGCTCTGTCAGCGTGTGCGATCCATTCATACAGAAAGGCGTTATATTACGGCAATATTTAGTTGGTATGTATGGTTTTATGTCGATAAGTGTAAAGGTATTATTACCGCAATACTACCAGAACCTGTGTCTGAAAATGGCTGTAATAACTACAGAAATATTGCCTGCATTCTAAAGCATGGTATTTTCATGATAAAGAAGTGATGTCACCAACCTACAAATAATCCAGGTAGTACAAGAAAATTAAGCAACCAATTTGAAGTGGTTGTCGAAATGATGACAATGGCAGCAATAATATAAAATTATGGCTCCATAATTAAGTGAAAAATACAAAAAAAAAAAAAATAAAGTAAAAATACTAACAATCAAAATAATAATAATAATGCAAATTAGCAATATAGTTCATTTTTAACTAAAGGAATAATAAAAATAATAACAATAACTATTATTAATTTAACTAAAACTGAAATTCTAAATCTTTAAAAACAACATAATGTCACTTGTTAGAGCAAGAGACTAGAAAAATCAGAGATTTCAGGTTTGCAGAATCCAGGCACTTGACTGGGATGACATGCTTCCCGCTGCCAGTAAATTCCCATCCCTGCAGGATGCTATGGCCTAAAAATGGATAATGTCTGTTATCAGGTTGGTTGGGAGACATATATCACAACAGCTAAGAAGTTCCAAAATATTATGACACACTGTATAGGCCTACCTAAATAATATTTTAAATGCTGGTGCAGCAAAAGAGGAGATTTTATTAGGCGTTTTAAATCTCCCGATGGGTTCCAATTTTGTGTCCTTGAAAAATTTCAATG